TGCAGGTGAATTTGTAGGTTTGGCAGGGAGGTGAGGGCATTCATGTCTGGTTGCTCAGTAAATTGTGAGGGAAATACCATAAGATTGCTGAGTGCCTATTAGAAGTGCATACTTGTGCACTTAGGGTGTAACCAGGTGCCCACTGTGTGACTTTGTGTTAGTCATGTTGAGTGACTTAGGTGCAGACACAGAAGGTGTATAATTGGGTACAACCAGGCTGGGAAGTTTATCAGGTCTGTACTATGGAGGGGAGAGGGAGTTCAGCTGAGCATTTTTGCATGGAAGTGATTATAGTAATGGACCCTTGACCCTATGAGGTGCATGCTATCATCAGATAGATCTCGGTTCTTGTTTAGCCTTTCTGAAGGTGCCTTGCTCTCATCCCCATGTCCTGACTATAGGAAGGATATGCAGCCATGTAACTCCAGAAGTCAGTGTGTGATGTGTACAAAAATAAGCTGCTTCTAGCGCCAGGGGTGGCCCAGGTGTAGGATTGGAAGCTCAGCACAGATATCCTGGCACTTAGAAATGCCAGGGATCTTGGAGCTCATATGGAATAGTCCAGCCTCTCAGTTTAAATAGCCTGTCTATAGTGTCTTCAACAGACTGCCCCTACTCGAACACTTTTATTGATCGAGAGCTCATTACTTTGAGAAGCAACATGTGATAGCTGTACTGTGCCCTTTTGTCCTCCACGCAGAGCTCATTTCTAAAACTGAGGCTAGAGTTCAGGTCTCCTGCACACTTGTCCTTGCTCTGTAGGATGTTTCTTTTTCCTGGTAGCCCTTGGGTGAGGGGCACAGGAGTTGCTAAATGGGCAGATGTTACTGGGAGCTGTCTTATCTTCTCCAGTGAAATGGCTTATTTTTAGTCAACTATTTCAGTCTACTAAGAACTTTTTTAAAATCTTGATTCTAGGGGCCGGCCTGGGGGCGCAGTGGTTAAGTGTGCACGTTCTGCTTCAGCGGCCCAGGATTCGCTGGTTGGGATCCCGGGTGTGGACATGGCACTGCTTGGCAGGCCATGCCGTGGTAGGCATCCCACATATAAAGTAGAGGAAGATGGGCATGGATGTTAGCTCAGGGCCAGTCTTCCTCAGCAAAAAGAGGAGGGTTGGCAACAGATGTTAGCTCAGAGCTAATGTTTCTCAAAAAAAAGACCCCACAAATCTTGATTCTATAATGCAATATACTAGTTATCTGTCTCAAAGTTGTGTTCCAGTTTTTTTAAACTGTCTTTTGTGTTCATCTTATCCAAAGGTGTGTCATGAGAGACTTTAATAGATTCAGATGTTTGTGACAGCCTTCTAGTAACCCTATCAAAAAAGGACATAAACTAGGTGTAACTTAGTCACCTCATGTGGGCACCTAGTAGTCATCATGTTTTAGTTAACTGGTCACACAACAAGTTCAATGAAACTTTTTTTGAGTTTTATTAACTGTTGTTACACTTGTTTAACTTTTGAAAATTGGAACTTCTGCTGAGCTCAAGTCTCTGGCAACCTTCAGTTTGTAATGTTTTCTCAAAGATTATTGATGATGATTCCTCAAGTTTTTCCAGTATAATTTGCTTAACCAGATCACTTGAATTAATTCAGAGGGGCTCAAGTCTGATCAACCAAATGCTAAGACTTACATCCTAGGGTAGGTGGTAGCTCAGCTGCTCTTCCCATTCTGGGGATAATCTGTTACTCACTTGTAGACCTTGACTTCTTGGAGGGGTGTTTGGCTGGCGTGGGGGCAGTGGCCCAGTCTTTGGGCGCCAGGATGTTAGGCCCTCCTTAAGTGGTTAGGAGCGTGATTGGATTCAGCCAGGCCTGCGTTGCGTCACGTTTCACCTCTGCCATTAATTAGCAGTGTGACTTGGCAACTTACCTAGCTTTGCCAAGCATCACTTTTCCTCATCTGTAAAATGAGTGTCTCAGTTGAGGATTAAATGAAGCCTTTAATGAGCTGCCTGGCCCATGGTAACCATCTCTTCAATATGGCCATTATTAATTCTCTTAAGGGTTTGCTGGGTGAAGCTGGTGAGCACACTCTGGGACCTAGAGAGAAGGTAACTTGTTTGGCCTCCTAGGGTAAGGCAGAAGCCCTAGGTACAGATACCCTGGCCCCAGACCCCTCTCTCTCTCAGAAGGAGATGCTGGGCACTCCTTGAAAGCCAGAGTGGAGTATTTTGACCTTTGGCCTAGTGAGAACAAGAGAGAGCATTCCCTTTCTTTGTGTCCAGACAAGAACTAGGTGAATTACAGACGATGGCAGATTTCTTAGGCAGGCAGTATGGAATGAAAGAGGAGACACCTGACTCCTTCCTGATTTAGGGCAGGCTCCAAGGGGCCATGGCCACAGTGGTGGCATCGACTTTGCTCGGGAATCTGGTGGGAGCATGCCCAGTACTGTGCACCTGCTCAGCCTCCCTCCCAGGCTCTCTGACAGAGTCTGGCTCTTGGAGCTCAGCCACAATAATCTCAGTCACCTGCCATGTGGCTCCTTCTTAGGGTCCCTGCGGAATGTGGGTGTCGCTGCTTTCTCACAATGTCCTGTGGGTGGTGGAGTCCTGAGGGGTCTGGGTTTCCTGGAGCAGCTGGACCTCAGCCGCAACCAGGTGGCTTGCCTGCTCCTGGTCTTCTCAGCCACAATGGGCTCTCTACTTTGCCTGGACCTCTCTCCCAACCTGCTTGCCACCCTGGGCCCCTGCAGCCTGTGGGGCCTGGGGAACCTGGAGCAGCTCGACCTGAGCCACAACCAGCTGGCTGAGCTGGGCACAGCCAGGCTTGGGGGCCTCTCCCACCTACGCTGGCTCTTGCTGGCTGGGAATGACATGAGTGAGCTAGAGGCCCAGGCCTTTGTGGCCCTGTGGGTGCTGGGCCTCCTTTCTGTTGTAGGTAACAGGCTGCAGCAGCTCAAATTCAACATCATAGCAGGCATCTGGGCAGCAGGCACACGGCTGCTGCTGGCCAGTAACCCCTGGGTATGTGATTGTGATCTGCAGTGGACCTTCGGGAAGCTTGACCACCTGCGGCACTTGCATGTGGCCAACCTGGGCAACCTGAGTTGTGCTGGACCTGAGCGGCTGGCAGGGGTGGTGCTGGGCAGTGTGGAGGCCTGGCTCTGCACTGGGTTATCACGGGCACCATGCTGGTCACTGGCTGTGGTCCCAAGACGGCTACTGTGCTGGGTTATTGTGGCTGAACACAAGTGCAGGCGGGACCCCAGAGCAGCTGGAGAGCAGAGGAGCCCTCTGGAGAGGTAGGTGGTGCTACAGAGAGAAGTCAAAGCAACTGGAGGATAGCGAGCAGAGGGAGCTGTGGGAGAACAACAAGGATGTTCCTCAGAAGTTTTTGGGACTCAGTTGTCTGATGAGGCAGGGGTGCGAGGAATGGGGGGGGTGGACAACAAATGGTTGTGTTCATCTCTCAGAGCCTTGGACTCCCCCTCATCTATTTCCCTCCTCTGACCCAGCACAATGCCAGCATCTTTCCTGGCCCTAAAAAGAAGGATTTGGTTCCTAGTCCTTCTCAACACCCCTCTGGGGAAGAGGGCAGTAAAAGGTAGAGACTGAAGAGCAGAGGGAACTGGGGTGGGAAGGGTACTGAGGAGAGCTTCCTTACTCCTAGTCTTCCCCCTCTTCATGCATGTCCCTGGCCTCTCCTTTGGGGGACCTGATCAGAAGCTGGTTGCTAAAGTTATGATGGAGGTGGGGTGGGGTATTGTTCCTGTGGGCATAATCCAGGCAGTCTCCTAGAACTATTTTATGGACGTATGTCCATGATCCCAGTTCTGGTCCTCAACACCTTAGCTCCTTCCTGAGGGCTGTGCATCTTGTCCCATTTGAATTGGGGATGGGTGAGGAGATTGGGAAAATAAAACCAACTGGAAAGTTAATTCTGTACTATATTTCTGTATTATGGTGAAGAAAACTTACTGCATGTGATTGTCACTGGCAAGTGGGAGAGGTAAGCAAAAATGACCTTTAACCTAGGCCTTTTCTCAATCTCCTTGCCTGAAGATCACCCCCCACTCACCTGGCATAAACCTACACAATACCATTCCCTAGTTTTTTGCATGGATATATCCCTCTCTCATGTTCTTTTCTGATGTACCCAGACTTTATCCTAATGACTTTGTAAAAAATTAGTGTGAAAAGGTGTTTTGTTGTCAGCTTTCATTGGCTGATTGGAAATTTTTAATTCACATTGTCAGAAATGCTGTTTGGACATGAGCTCCCTCTCCCCTCCCCAGGAACTGGAAACAGATCTGAGTTAAATGGCCTAGGGGAGTGCTTGTAGAGTCTTAACTTCAATATTGGAAGATGAATTTGTGTGTTGCAGGGAGGGGAGGGTGGGTGCAGGCAGATAGGTGGGGACAGCTTTGTGGTGGCAATCCCAGAGTGTCCAGAACTTTTATCCATTTATTTATTTAACAAATAATTACTGAGTACCTACTCTGAACGAGACATAGGGGCAACACCTTTCCTTTAACTATTTATCTATTCAGCACATATTTCCTGAATGCATCCTGTATACCAGGCCCTGAGGATATAACAGTAGCCAGACACCAGACACTGTCCTTGCCCTCATGGAGCTCACCATCTAATGTTAATCTAGTCATTAACAAAAGAATCACAAATATATAATTGCCAATGTGCTAAGTGATTCAGAGGAAGGGTACCTGATGGTTATGAGAATATAAAATAAGGGAGCTGAGAACAAATGAGAAGGCCAAAGGAAAAGGGAGGGAGACCAGCTGGAAGCCTGCTGCAGTTAAACTGACAAAAGATGGTAATTTGGGCTAGAGTGGAGAAAATGGACTGATGTGAGATTTCCTGTACGTCGACGTCAGAGCTCTCTCTTCTCTCGGGACAGATAGAAAGGCAGACCAAGACCAAACTTCTTTACAAATGACTCAGCTAGGAGAACCCCTTACTCTGAACTTAAACAGAACAGAGGTATCTTCTCGGGGGGGGGGGGGGGGTCTGTACACCATTTATTGAACCCCTACTATGTGCTAGGACCAACACTGTCACATTTAAACCTCAAAACAACCCTGTGAAGTAGATGTCATCCCCATTTCACAGATGAGTCTTGGAAAGTGTAGGCAATATGCCCAAAGTCACAGTTAGGGTTGGAGTTAGGATTGGATCCCAGGTTTAGCTGCGGTCAAAGACTAGCTTCATTCCATCAAGTTGTGGTCCAGGGCTTCTGATGTCCTGAACGCACTGTTTCTTCCTCTAGTCTAGTTTTCAATTTTGTACCTACAAGGAGGGGTCCTTACGACTCCATGGGCAGAAAGGCTGAACTCGGAAACTAGAACACCTCCTTCGGTCCAGAACTAGAGAGCGAAAGCGTTGTTTCCCGTCGGAAGCGGGAAAAAAAAAAAAAAAACCCGTGAGACCCGGAAGTTGCGTGTCGCATCCCGGCGCCGGCCTTCCTAACCGGGGTGAGGCCGTAGCGGACTGCCCTTCCTAAAGATGGCGTCGAAGACGGGTTCGCGACGGTGGATGCTGCAGCTGATCATGCAGTTGGGTTCGGTGTTGCTCACACGCTGTCCCTTCTGGGGCTGCTTCAGCCAGCTCATGCTGTATGCTGAGAGGGCCGAGGCGCGCCGGTGAGCGGGCCCACGCGGCCGCCGAACGCGGTGGGGGTGATACGGCTTGTCCCAGGAACGGGGGTGCTTTGAGGTGGGAAAGAAGTTGGGGCCCAGAAGTTGGGACCCTTGGATTGGGAGGAATTGGGACCTCGAACTTGTTAGGGGCTCTGGTCTGGAGCAAGGTGGGCATCGAGCATAGTGCGGGGTTCCTGGCCATGAGACGGGGCTCCGGTTTGGGGGAGGAGTGGAGTTTGTGGGAACTCAAGGGATCTCGAGGCTTTTCTTTCCCCTTCACGCTGTCCCCGTTGCTTTCCCCCTCCCGGCTCGCAGGAAGCCCGACATCCCAGTGCCCTACCTGTACTTCGATATGGGGGCGGCCGTGCTGTGCGCTAGCTTCATGTCGTTTGGAGTGAAGCGGCGCTGGTTCGCGCTGGGGGCCGCACTCCAACTGGCCATTAGCACCTACGCCGCCTACGTCGGGGGCTACGTCCACTACGGGGACTGGCTGAAGGTGAGCCCCTCGGCCCTAGGCGGGACTTCGCTAGCGTGATGGGGAGCCCAAGGCCAGTGTCCGGGGCAGTTGGGCAATGCGTGGAAGCCCGAGGCATGTGGAGATTATCACAGACAGCAAGAGTGGAAGGACCTCAGAGGCCGTACAAGCCTCCCTTTCAGAGTGTGGAAACAGGTCCAGAGATGGGGAACAGATTTTCCCAAAGTCACAGAACAATTAGCCCTACAGGTGGGACAAGAACCAGGTCACCTGGTTCCCAGGATCCTTTAAATCATTAGTTTAGTACTCTCAGACTCATAGGGCAGAAGGGACCCAGGAGAGTACCCGGTCTAACTATCTAATTTTATAAAATTTAGTTAATCCTAGTGCAGCATTTAAGCCTGTAAATGCCAGAACCTGTGCCAGGCACTGCAGGCTTGGAGATAAGCCTGACAAAGGCACTACCCTCAGGAATGGACTGTCAGCCAGTACAGGAAGCAGATGTGTGAACAGCCACGCAACAGTGAGAATAGTGGGGCTTTTTTATGGAACAGACTCTATACGATATAGCAGAAAGAACATTGGGGTTTGAGTCTGCAGACCTAGGGGGCAACACTTGGTATCTGGGTTCTGCCACTTACTTTCTGTAGGACCTTGGACAATTTTATTAAACACTCTGGGCCTCAGTTTCCACTTCTGATAAAAAGAATTATCTATCTCTGCTGTACCTGCCCACCACACTTGGAAATGGTAAGAGCGTTCATCAGCTGGGATGGGATGTGTAGACATGGGCAGTTCTGTGCTCTGGGCAGCCAGGAGAAATGTGGTGGCTGCAGTTCCTGATTTGGGTCCCCTCATCTCGGCCTAGGTCCGTATGTACTCGCGCACAGTTGCCATCATCGGCGGCTTTCTTGTGCTGGCCAGCGGTGCTGGGGAGCTGTACCGTCGGAAACCCCGCAGCCGTTCTCTCCAGTCCACCGGCCAGGTGTTCCTGGGCATCTACCTCATCTGTGTGGTAGGTTGGGGGACCGTTGGCTGGAGGAGCTTGACTGGGAGTGAAATGTGAGTGCATGACTAACAGAACCAGGGAGGTGGGCAGAACAAGGCCTTGCATATGGTTCCTGATGGCCTGGCTCCTGGGAATTGCCCCTGCCAGCTTCTGGACCTTAGGGCCCCTCCAAGTACCTGAGACATGGCTGAGAGTCCCTTCTTCCAACATTATTGCCACCAGGGAGAGAAGAGTTTGGACTGATCATTCAGTCCCAAGCCTGAGAGCCAGGAAAACAAGATGGACTGGTCCTCTCATAGCTCCAGCTCCCAGAGGACTGAGAGAGGAGACAGAGAAGAGGTCTGGTGGGGTTCAGGCCACAGCTGGGACTCTACCACTTACAGCTGATGGGATCTCCCTAGGGTAGCCAATTATGGTCCTCCCTCGTTCTAGGGGAGGCCAGTCTGGATGGGGACAGTTAGAGTCCTAGGCTATTTGGCCTCATCCTGTTATGGGGCACCATATCCAATGTGCAGAGCTCTGTATTCAGAGGTGAGAGTGCCAGTCTAACTGTGGAGACACACTTCCTCCCTTCTGAGCCCTCAGGGTGAGGAGAGACATAGGCCCTAAGTTCATGGAGCTCCCTAGTCTGAGGGGGAGATGCAGGCCCTACTTTCGGAGAGCCCCAAGTCTGAGAGGGGAGTCAGAAGCCCACCTTGCAGAGCCTGACTTGCAGGTGCCATCTCAGGGGTGGCCTTCTCCAGACAGGCTCCTCAGGCTGCTGGAGAGTCTTAGAGGGTGGTGTGTCTCCAGGCCTACTCACTGCAGCACAGCAAGGAGGACCGGCTGGCGTATCTGAACCATCTTCCAGGAGGGGAGCTGATGATCCAGCTGTTTTTCGTGCTGTATGGCGTCCTGGCCCTGGCCTTCCTGTCAGGCTACTATGTGACCTTGGCTGCCCAGATCCTGGCCGTACTGCTGCCCCCGGTCATGCTGCTTATTGATGGCAATGTTACCTACTGGCACAACACGCGGCGTGTTGAGTTCTGGAACCAGATGAAGCTCCTTGGAGAGAGTGTGGGCATCTTCGGAGCTGCAGTCATCCTGGCCACTGATGGCTGAGTTGCACAGCAAGAGGCTGAGATGGGTGCAAGGAGCCACTGAGGGCCACCCTACCTTCCTCCTTGCTGGCCCAGTTATGTTTATTTATGCTTTTTGATCTGTTTGTTTGATCCTTTTGTTTGTGTGGGTATATGTGTTGGTACGAGGCAGGTCTCTTCCCCAATTCCTGGGCTTGGCCCCTAGCGGGTGGGAGCCCTGATAACGATGCCTTACAGGGTTTTTTTCCTGTTCATTAGGAGGAGAGCTGAGGCCGGTTGCTCCCCTGGGTCTCCTGTCCCAGAGGAGGGAATAAGGCAGGGCTAGGGTGGGGATACTGAGAGTGGGAGACAGAGGAAGGAAGACCGAGAGCCGGAAGTGAGCAAATGTGAAAAATTCCTTTTTGAACCTGGCGGGTACAGCTAGGCTCTGCTTTTTGGAGACCGAGGGTCAGGGCAGAGGATCAGCCCAGGAGGAGCAGAGGGGCTGGGCACCATAGAAGTCACGTGGGTTCTCAGGGTATGCCAAGGGCAGAAATAGCATTAGCTGTCACCCACCTTGAGAGCAGAGCAGCCCCCAGTCTACTCTGGGGTGTGCAGGGGTGGGGCAGGCAGCACCAGCTTCCCGCCTCCTGCCTTCTGTCTCCAGCTCCATGGTTGGCCTGGTGGGGTGAGTGCCCCCCAAACACCAGACTACACAGTCCTCCAAAAATAAACATTTTATCTAGACATTTCTTCTAGAATTTGCTTCTCTGGTCTCCCCACGGGGCTCTTTGCCGTTGGCTGGGATTGATCTTGGGTTTCTTGAAAGACCATGTCCGGTTTAGCCCCACCTTGGTCCTCCCGTGATCTTTCCCCTGTTCTGAGCATTCCCAAAGTCCTTTGGCTCTCTTTTCAAGAATCTCCTAATCCTCCCTGTAGTATATGCTTTTGACCTCGTACCTCAGTCCCTCTTGTCGCTTGTCCTTTCCTCCCCATTTGGTGCCAGCTCTTTCTGAAGAAACCTTTGGCGAGGGCAACTAGAGGGGGAGAACTAATATTAAGTGTCCACTATGAGGCCGAGGGTTTTACATTTTACATAGGAGGAAACGGGAGGTCAGAGAAGGTAAGCAGCTTGCCTCAAGCCACAGAGCAAATCCAGCCACAGCTGGATTCAAGGTCAGGTCTGTCTAATGCCCATGCCCAGATGTGTACCCAACACCACCCCTCTCCTGAGGGAGGATAAAGGCTGCTCTTGGAGTCTGGTTCTGCTGCAGCCCCTGGCGTGCTATGGTGGTCTCTTAATTGACCCTTTCCATACTTGTCCATGCACCTCCTGACAGAAAGTAGCACCCGCAGCCAGTATAATGCCTGGCACATTGTGGGGGTCAAAAATGTCAAATGAAATCTCTGGCTTTGGACTCCTGCTGGTCTGAGGTATTCTCCTCCTGCGAAGATGGAGACACAACTTGCAGTGGACCCTAGGGAAGACGTCCAGGTCTGGGCTGGGCTCTGAGCCCTGCGTGCAGAGGGAGCCGCAGCTGCTGCTGGTCTGGTTCTTGGAATGGAGGCTCTTTCCTAAAAGGGGGAGGGCAGCCCCTCTGGGGGCTGCTGACACCAGGGGAAGGGAGATGGTGGCAGCATTTATCCCAGCCGTCCACCACAGTTAGCGCCTCTCTTCCCTCCAGGTGTCCCCTGGTTCCCCAGCCCTCCAGCTCTTGCTCCCAGAGGGTCACTGCTAATTTCCTTTCAGGTGTGAGCTGACTCTCAGACAAGTATTTGCATTTTAATCAAGGCCTCCTGAAAAGTTGCAAGACCCAAAGGAATTAAAATGACTGGTGGTATATTGGGCAGACAGGGGTGATATTTTGGGCAAAGGGGCCTCAGAATAGCACAGAGGCCACAGGAACTGGTTCACCCTTAAGGTCAGCCCTGAGTAGAGCCCTCAAAGGCAAGCCCTCCTCCCCCAAGTCTGCAGACTGAAAATTGAAGCCATCTTTCTGGTCGTGGCTTTGGAGCAAGTGGGGTGTCTGGGGCAGGCCCTTCTCCTTCCTGTGCTTGCCCTACGTGGGCACCCCCTCTGGGCAGAGTAGAGTAGGTGCTGCCTCCTCTGCAGATCATTCAGCCATCAAGCATGGTCCAGCCTGTGGCTGCCTGGGGTCACCTCCGGCAGGCATGACTTTCGGTCCACCCTGGCTTTCCTAGGGCCTGCAGGGCCGGTGGTGAGGGTCAGCTGCCTGGGTCAGAAGCTGGCTTGCAGAAGGAGTCTGGCAGCCCCTTGGCATGGTTGACCAGCTCATAAGAGTCCCGGATATCAGCCAGGCCAAACCAGAAGAAGATCCACTGCTTGTTGGAGAAGCTGCCATCGCTGTGTTTGAAGTACCTGGCCGGGGGGCGGGGTGGAGGTGATGAGACTTAGGGCAAGGCCAGTGCTCACTACCCACTGGTTCATTTATTGAGGGCCTAGTACATGTTAGACACCTGCTGGGACCTGCTGCTGGTTATCTGATTTTATCCTCACAGCAGCAGCAAAGAGCCTGCTGGTGGTATGCTCTTTTCATCGAGAAGCAGCTAAGGCTCAGAGAAGTTAGGTAACTTGCCAGAGTCACACAGCTAGGAAGGTTAGAGTGAGGACTTTTCTTGCTCTCTCCACACTGCCTTGACCAAGCAGTCAGGGGAGTGGTTCTTGTCCACCTCTTGGTGCCCACAGAGCAGGCTGGTAGGGGATGAGGGATAGTTGCAGAAGGAATGAGAGGAGGGAGCGTTCTCCTGGAGATGCAATGAGTCTGGGGTCAGAGCTTGTCAACTGGGCGTGGAATAGAGCATGAAGGGTCAGGATTTTCTGGGGCCCTGGGAGACCCAGCTGCATGGGGGCTGGGGAGTGTCTTCAAGGAATTCATCGTAGCAGGGCAGAGCTGGGTTAAGTGTGCACTGCCTCTGGGGAGATCCCAGGCGCCATGTGTGGTCTGCCCCCTGGGGAATGTCAGGCCACACTGAGCGGGGCCTTTCCCTTGGAGAAGGAAGGCTAATGAAAGAAGGGGAAGCCCAGCCTTCCTGACTGTTGGACCCCCAGACGGCTGGCGAGAGCTGGAGAAGAGAGGAAGGGCGGGGCCCAGCCCAGAGCTGGGAGGGGCTGGACCTACCAGGGATTGATGGGGTTGGTGACCCGCGAGCGCCAGAAAAGCCTCTGCTGGTCCCGCCGCAGGCACTCCCACAACATCTGGCCGGAGCCTTGGCCCTGGCGGCTGGAGCTCACCACAAACTTGTCTAGATACTGGGTGCCTCCCAGTACGGGCTCCGTGGTCAGAATGGCGGCGGCATTGTACCTGGCACAGCGAGGGAGAGGCAGGCTGGGACTTCTCCTTGGCCTGGAGCTGCCCGGCTCTTTTCCCTCCGTCCCTGCCCTCTGGGGCCCGCAGGCTCACCCCTCAGAGACGTAGACAGAGTGCAGCCGTGGGCGCAGCGAGGCCAAGTAGTCGTCCCGGAGCTTCTTGCCGAAGCTGGCGTTGACCAGGTTCACTAGGCGGCCTTGGTCCAGGCTGTCCAGGCTGCGCACTCGCAGCATCCGCTCGGCGTTCTTGAACAGGGTCCCGGACCCTGGGGTTGGGATGGAGGAGGAGGGGTTAGCTTAGCCCGAGAGCCAGGTCCCATCCTCCGTTTGCGCGGCCTCGTGGGTTCCAAATAGGACTGGGGCTGGTGGGACAATTACCCTTTTTTGTGAAATCTCCACAATGAAATGCTTTCTGTGGTCTGCACAGATTTGTATGTGATTTTCACTCAGGGAGGTGCTTTTCCCAGGCAAGTTTGTCCCTCAAGTTCTGCCCACCGCGTGTGGTCCCACGTACCTCCCCTCTTTCCCGGAATCCTCTTCCCCCGCCCCTGGTCCCACCCGCCCATCCAAATCCCTCCCACCTCCCCTAGCCCAGTTCATCCCACTTTGTTCCGCTCCCCCAAGCCCCGCCCATCTGTCTGGTTCCACCCAAGTTCCAGCCCAATCCAGTGCACCTCCTTACTCACCTTCCCGGGTTTCGACAGAGCCGGAAGCCTTTGCTGTGGCGTCCCGCTTCGGCTTCCTTACTAGAGGGGAAGCCGCTCCTCCGGCTCATCCACACCCGGCGCTGCCGGTGGTCGCTCCCAGAACCCAGCACCGCCCCCACGCCCCGGCCGCTGCCCTCACCCTTATTGCTGAAGAGTTCGGTGAGCAGAGTGGCGGCGGCGGTGATGACGGCCGAAGAGTGGTGGGGCAGGCGGCTGAGCACGTCCACGATGAGCCGCATCTGCTGCCGTTCTTTGGCGCTCACCCACTCGGCGTTGGTCACCAGGTCCAGATCGGCGGGCAAGTTCACGTTACTCAGGACCTGCGTCCGGGGCGAGGGGGTGAGCTTCCGGCCCGCAGCCGACCGTTCGCGGTGCCCCTGCCCCACGGACCTCTCCTCACTGACCCCTTTACCCCTACTTCCTCCCAGAGTCCTCGGCCAGGGAGGGCTGAGAGCTGGGCACCGCGGGCTGACCCCTCCCTGACACTCCATTCCCAACCCACCCTGCCTGAGAGCGACTCTGGGGCCCATCAGGGAGGCGTGCGGGGAGCGCCAAAGAGGCGCTCAGCCAGGCCAGGGTCGCGGGGAGTGGAGCCCGAAAGGAGGGAACACACCTTGTGACTGCTGTCGCGCAGGCCCCCTGTGTTATTGAGGAAGATGATTTTGGTGGGCTGCAGCGCCTTGGCCAGCGCCGCGGTCACCTCCAGCGAGTCGAGGAGCACGGAGCGGCGCGCAGCTGTCTCCCCGATGGGGCACAGGATGGGGATGCTGCCCGACTCCAGGCACCACTGTAGCAGGTCCGTCTCCACGGAGACTACGCCACCATAACTGTGGGCCAGACGTGGTGCTCAAGAAGGCCCCCTCCAGGCCCGCCGGGCTGGGGCAGGGCGGGCGCAGCGAGATCGGAGGAGGCCGGAGCAGGCAGGGCCGGCACTAACCTGGCATGAGGGGCCGGCTCAGCGGCGCCCAGCACCGACCCGCCGCCAAAAAAAGGCACGGCCGTGGCGGCGTTGTGCCGCAGTGCGTCCACCAGCACCTTGCAGCTCTGGGAAAGCTGTGCCTTGGCCTCCCAGAAGGAAAGACAGCCTGAGGGCGCCGTGGGAGCAGGCAGCCCCAGGACCACCAGCGGCTTCATGTCCATGCGTTGCAGGAAGGCCAGGGCGAAGGCCAGGCTGGGTACGGCCCGCCGGCACTTGATTACCTCGTCGTCCACCTGCGGAGGAGTGAGCGTTCAGGAGGCGCGACCCTGGCCCTGACTCCTCGGGCACCCGCTTGCCCGCAGGGCCCTCTCGGTGTCCCCACCCTGTCCAGGAGCGGCCCGGTCCCATTTCTGGCCACAGGCGCCCACCCGCTCCGCCCTTTGCCCCGTTGGGTCTTGTCATCCCCTTATCTCACACTAGTGTTCCTCCCTCTGTTCCTCCCTGCGACCTTGGACTCTAGAACACCCTGGGGGGAGGGGAGACGCAGGTGGCTCCTGTCCAGATAGCCCCTTGCCATCTGAACCCCTAACTGCGCCTATGGGGGGGTGGGTTCTCCAGCGCATCACACTTGGCGGGTCAGTGTCCCCAAGCTCCTCACCCGGGCTGGGTGCGGGACTTGGAGGAGTACGCAGCCTCGCCCAGTCCCGGGCACTTGTCTGGGCTCTCTCGTGCCCCTTCCTGGTTCCTCTGCGCAGAGTCCGCAGCCCACCCTTCCGTGCCTGGCTACCTGTCGCCACACAACCCTCATCCCCTCGCTGTGACACGGCCGACGCTCACCTCGACGACGGCGAAGGGCTTAGCGAAGGGGTGGCAGGTCTGGAACTGCGTGAGCCAGTGGCGCGCCTCCCCCAGGCTGGCCCCGCACTGGTTCAGGAAAGTCTGGATGTCCCGTTGCACCAGCGAGCGGCCGGCCGCGGGCCCGGGAGGTTCGGGGGGCGTGGGGGGCGGTGTCCACGGTGGCTCCTCCGTTGCAGGCGAATGGGCGTCGTCCTCGGCGCCCTCGGTCTCCTCTCGGGAGGACTGGGCCGGCGCCCAGGCCGTGCTGAGCCAGCGCCCCGGGCTGGCGCTCCTGGCCGCCCGCCGCCGCGCGCTGCCGCTCAGCCTCCGGGCGCCCCCAGTGCCTCGGGGCCCGCGCAGCCTCCCACCTGCAGCCACCCGTAGGGCCCAGGCCAGCTGCGCCTTCGCCATGACAACCAACCAAACCGGCTCGCCCGCCCACGAGCCACCATCTGTCCGAAGCTCCGGGCTCTGGGGAGGCTCTTAACCTGCCACGGGGCGGAGCTGGACCCGCCGGGGTGGGGCGCGTACAGGGGACGCGGAGTCGCCTCTGGGCGCTTTTGAGGAGGGTCAGGCCATGGGTCAGAGGGCGGGGCCGACAGGATCCCCCGCCCCTGGGGGGACGGAACTCACTGGCGAGGGCCAAGAGACCGAGATCAAGGGTGGCGGGGCGTTTTTAATCTGCTGCCAAGGTCCCTTCCAGGATGGGCTCAGGGGACCCAGGGGTGGCTTTGGCGGTCTGCGGGGTCTTGGTTACTTAAAGGGGAGTCTGATCAGGTCAAGAGGCGAGAGCAGGTGGCAGTTACTGTCAGACCGAGAAAGGAGACTGGAAACAGAGGCGCAGGAAGAGCGAAGGCGGGTGGGGGAGTGCCAGCCTTGCCCGAGGTCGGAGGCCTTTGTCCTGCCGTCTGAGCTCAAAGATCGGAATGATGAGGTTACCAGGGTTTGTCAAACTCCAGCCACTGGATACCACCTTAAAGAACTTCGTCATATCCTCAAATCACCCCTTCTTAGTATTAAAGTCTTTCTTTAAACGTTTTAAATTTAAAATTTATCCATATCAGGATTGTAACTAGAAGGCCAGTATCACTTGCAAATAGAAGAAAGCCTGAAGAATAAAGCGAGAACAAGATGCTATTGAGTCCCAGCGGGATCGTGTCACCTGCTCTCCTGGTAACAGAGTTTAGCATGTGCCAGACGTTAGAGATGCCCCGGCCCCTGGTGAGGCTTTCTCCCGGGTGGACTAATAGCTGACACTCGTAGAACGCCAGGCGCTGTGCAAAGCACGTCACAAACAGCAGCTCAGTTCATCCTCACATTGGCTCCAGAATGGGTGTTATTATGATGCCCATTTTATAGATGAGGAAATTGAGACAAATATGTGAGGGCCAAGGTCGTTGAGTTTGCAAGCAGTGGAGCTGGTCTTTGCAGCAAAGCAGTTCTGCTCCAGATCCATGTTCCTAAGCGAGACTTGAAAAGGACTTGAAAACGTTCACAGAAAGTGATTCGTTGTTACTTAATACTGACCATGTGCTGCCTAAAAGCACCACGGGCTCTCGGTTGTACACACCATGCACTTGGGTGCACTCTGATGGAATTCCACCCTCTGTGATAGGCAGGAAACCAGCGGTAGAGAGGTGGTGACTTGGCCAAGGTCACAGAGCTTGTTAGTGGCATGCCCAGATCTTAGGTAGTCTAAATTCCCACCCCCTGCTCTTTTCTCCCTCACACGCAGCTCAGTGCTGCCCCTTCTGCTGTGCTGGGAGCCAGGACTCCCGGGGCTCCTCCTGAATGGGGAGCAGTGGCCTGAGCTGCTTCCCTCCTGAGTATCCCAGAGGATGCTGGGTGAGTGCATGGACCCCTTCCCAGGATCCCCAGCCAACACAGACACGCACACCCGAACACTTGTGCGCTCATGTACAGCACATGCACATGCTGTGCCAAGCAGGAGTCTCCTGACGGGGGAGGAGAGAACTGACCTTTGTGACCTCCTCCATTGACTTTTCCATCTTCCCACCTCAAAATCCTGGGTTCCAACAGAGAGTGAAGCCACAGCATCTCTTCTTCCTTTCCCTCTTTACTGCTCCCCCCTCCCCCATACACTTCCCAGAATCCACCAAAGGAGGTGGTCCTAGCCCCTGGGGGCATAATCGTTTTCCTCCCTCTGCCCTCAGCCCCCAACCTCGCGTGCTTCCTGTTCCCCGTCTCTCTGTCCGAGCCCCTCTCCATCACAGCGCCCACTTCCTGGCCCCTCTCCACTCAGGATTCCTCCTTCTCCGTCTCTCCTGCCATTGCTGCTCTGAGTGTCTGCCTCTGCCCAGGCCCCTTGTCACTCCTTCCAACCTAAATGTATGCCCCTTCCAGGCCCTTTTCCCCCAGCTGTGGCTGAGCCCCGCCTCCTGCCAACTCGGGGCCTCTGTGAGGGCAAGGATGGCCTCTCCCTTCCGACTGGGGCTCCCTAAGGGCAGAGCTGGTGTCTTCCTCTTCAGGCTGGGGCCTTCCTGAGGGACCAACCATTTCAGTAGCCAACAGCATCAGCCTCATTTCTCCTGGGCTGGTGGGGCAGACACTGGCTGGAGAGCTGCTTCCCCCTCCTTTGGGTTTCAGCCCAGAGGGCCGTGTCCCCAGGCAGCCAATGGGGCCTGGGGATACCCTGAGTAGATGATTAACTCCAAGTCCAGTGTGACCCTGGGACCACTGTGTCTCCACTGCCTGTCCCTGGGGGAAGGCCAGCGTCTGTTTGGGGAACTGGCCCTGCTTTCTGGAGGAGATGAGTGTGGGTATATGGGGTCAACACCCCTACCTGACCCCACCCCTCTCAGCTGAAGGCCCACAGGATCATTGCTGGTTTGTGGTTCCAGTTCAAATTTTCTTTTTTTCCCCCTCTGAAGCTGGGTGTTGGTTTGTTTTTCAGAGCAAAGCCTGTTGTCAATGTGTCCAGAATTGGGCTCCTAGCTTCTCACCAGGCCTTGTTTCTTGGCCACACTGGGAATAGACACAACCTTCCAACCCCTCCTGAAACCTCCCCTCAACAGGGGCCTCAGCACTGAGCAGGGCTGGTTGAGGGCCAAGGCTGTCCCTCCCATTAGAACCCTTCTTGGCTGCCACTCAGTATAGGTGGGCATGAAGGTGACAGAAATCTGGGCAGGTGAGGAGCCAGGGTTGACAGCTGACCATCCCAACCACAGCACCTGTGGGAGGACACACACACATATACAGGTGTGGAGACACACAGGTGTACAGAGAGACACAGGTCCACTCAGACACACACTTGCACACAAAATCGTGCATGTTTACAGAGGCTCTCTCAGCGACTGTGTCATACATACACACGTGCATGGACAGATACTGAGAACACACAAATATGCACCTAGCTGTAGTCACCGACAGCTACAGGGACAAATGTACACAGACCCATGTACACACACACACACAAATACACACATGCAAAACATACAGAGTTAGAAGCAGACACGCCCCTCGAGTCCACACCCGTCTCCCCACACACAGAGGCACAGGGCCACACCATTCACAGGCCAGAGTGATGTCTGGCATGTGAGAGGTGTTCAGTAAACATTTATTGAATGAATGGATGAAGAGAGGACAGAGAGAAAGAAGTGGAGCTCATGCAAAGGGAAGTCTGGCTCTGTGGTTTGCAAGGTCTGTGGAATCTGTGTTGGTGGGATTGGCCCTAGGACAGCCTGAGAAGCCCCAAGGTGGTCCTCTCCATCCATGAGGAGGCAGATCCCAGTGGGCACTGTCTCAGAGCTGCACCTGGAGGGTGTGACAAGTGGGAGTGTGCAAAGGCCATCTCAGGGGCCAGCCCAGTGGCGTGGCGGTTAAGTTTGCGTGTTCCGCTTCGGTGGCCTGGGGTTTGCCAGTTCAGATCCTGGATGTGGACCTACACACCGCTTGTCAAGCCATGCTGTGGCAGGCGTCCCACATATAAAGTAAAGGAAGATGGGCACGGATGTTACCTCAGGGCCAGTCTTCCTCAGCAAAAAGAGGAGGATTGGCGGCAGATGTTAGCTCAGAGCTAATCTTCCTCCAAAAAAAAAAAAAAAAAAGGCCATCTTAGTCACCCACAGCATTTTTGAGCACATACTGCGTGCCAGGCACTGAACTGGGTGCCTGAGGAGGCAGTCCTATTTTTCCCGGCTGGAAGTCAGGAGGCCTGGGCTCTGCCACTTCCCGGGCTGCAAAGGTTTGGGCAAGGCATTTAACTTCTCTGAGTCTCAGTTTTCTCCCTGTAAAATAGGAGAAAGAGAATAAAACTCAATCTCATTGCCTTGTGATGAAGAGGAAAAGTTCTCTGTGGGCGTGCAGTCAGCAAAATCCAGATTGTGGGAAACCTTGTAGGTTTTTTCAACAAATAAATTGCAAGGAAAAGAGTAGGAGAGGGAAGGATGAGCATATAGATTAAAAGATGTATACATATACTTTTCCGTGAGGAAGATTGGCCCTGAGCTAACGTCTGTGCCAATCTTCCTCTATTTTTCTTTTTTTGTATGTGAGATGCCACCGCAGCATGGCTTGACCAGCCGTGTGCTGGTCTGAACCCAGGATCTGACCCTGCAAACCCCAGGTGGCCGAAGCAGAGTGGGCGAACTTAACCTCTATGCCACCAGGCCAGGCCCTAAAAGATGTATTTTTAAAGTCTCTTTTAATCCTTATTTGGATTCCAATTCAAACAAACAAACAAAAATTAGGCAGTCATGGAAATTTGAGCACAAAGGATATGATATATTAATTTTTTAGACGTGATAATGATTGTGTGTTACGTTTTTTAAAATATTCCATATCTTTGAGTATATATACTGAATATTTATTGATGAAATGATAAGATGCCTTGAATTTGCTTCAAAATAACTCTGGAGAGGAGAAAGCGGGTGAGGGGACAGCTGCAACAAGACTGGCCATTGAGTTAGGAGTTGATACTTGATGATGGTTACAGAGGATTCATTAAACTATTTCTGTACTTTTATGTGTATTTGGATATCTTAAAAAAAAAAGGATTCAATGAATTCCCAAAAGTGCAAGTTCCCCATATGACATAATGTAAATACTCAAGAAAAGCTAGTTTGTTTCTTCTAGGCATAGTTTTCCTCCAAGGCATAAATATGTGAAATAATGAATACTCCACAAGTACGGAGTTCAAAGCGGAGGACGAATTCCTCGGTAAGGTTTTCGGTTCCAAGCATGCCATGAGCCTCTTGTCCAGCAGGGGGCTCCCTACTCTGGCTGCTGCCGCCGCGGAGTTTGTGAAATCGAAGAGGACCAGCAGTGTAAGAGAGAGACCGCAGATAGGCTAGTGTCTGATGGAGACCGACCTTCCGTCTGAGATGATTAGAAGAAAACAGAGAGAGAGAGAGAAGAATTTGTCCACAACCCTATGATAGGAAGGGTCTTCCTTCAGTTTACAGTCTCTGGGGATCGGGGGCACTTAGGAAAGGGTACTGTCTTGAATATAGCAATAGCAAACCGTTCCTCAGGTACTGTTCCAAGCACATGCTAAGTATTAACTTATTTAATTCTCACAGTAGCGCCATGAAGTAGGCATTACTATTATTACAGAGATCACAGGAGGCTGGTTTTAGACAAGTGGAGGTAAGGCGCTTTCAGGGCACAGCTGGAGCTGCCTGGCAGACAAGTGGAAAAGGGGCCCAGAGCTCAGGAGAGAGGTCAGGGTTGGAGAGGTCCTGGAGAGGCGGTAGATGAAACCCCTGAACTTGGGCATGAGCTGCCAGGGAGGGGCTGGAGAAAGAGGAGCCCACAGAGGAGAGGCTGGAGGAGCTGAGAGTAGGAGGCCCACCAGGAGTCGCCCAGAATCCACAGGTGGGGATGCTTCAATAAGGAAGGGGCAGCCACAGTGTCGATGCCTCAAAGCCTGAGAAAAGGCTGTTGACTTCACCCCTCAGGGACACATTGGGGTTGGGGAGCTAGGGCAGGGAAGCCAAGGGGGGCAGAGGGTGGGAGAGGGGCCTGGGATGCGACCATAGCACAGAACTCCTGGGTAAATTATGGCTGGAGAAAGCAGAGCCTTGCCTCTCAAAGCGTGGTGCATGGCATCACCTGGGAGCTGGATAGAAATGCAGAGTCAGGGGCCCACTCTAGGCTCACTGAACGAGAATCTGCATTTTAACGAAGATCCCCAAGGGATCCTATGTGCATTAAAGTCTAAAAAGTAATGGAGCAGAGATGTGGGCTGGTCCAGAGAGGTCAAGAACGGGGGGGCGGGGGGGCTTTCAATATGAGGAAGTCCCTAGTGAGTTTGAGGCCAAGGAGGAGGTCAGAAGCCAGGGCGCAGGTTCACACCCCAAACCACTGCTCCAGTCCTCGGCGGGTAGGGACGCGGATTCTGCTGTGCGCCTGCAGGTTGTAATTACAAACTATTGCCACGAGGGGGCGATGCCGGCCTGGCCATGCGGTGCCCAGTCCGGGTGTCTCCCACTGGCTGCGTTCGGATCCGTCTGCAGCGCTGAAGTCCGCGAAGTAAAGGGATCCCCGTCAGGGACGAGTGGGAACCGACCCCGGGAAGCTGGTCTGGGGGCCGACTCCTGGTCCCCTCGTGCCCAGGAGGCTTACTGTCCCTCCTCCCAGGCTCTAACTACTCCCCACCCCCAAGCAACGCCCTCCCAGAGCCACCCCATCTTCGCGTGCCTCTCTTGGATCTCGGATCCCGATACCCCAACCCTCTTCCATGAAAACCCAGCCTGGGGGTGGGGGTTGAAGGTGCAGCCTAAGGGCGGAGTCAGGGGCAAAGGCGTTGAGAGGAGTGGGAGGTTTTATTGGGGGCAAAGGTGGGAGCAGGGGACTCAGGTATCCTCAGTCGGAACCTGTTAGCGGAGGGCCCCTTGTGCACCAGTCAGGGTGTTGGGCAAGTGGACACGGGAGAGGGTACGGTCTTTGCCTTGATCTGGGATTAGAACACGCAGGTTCGAGTCCCAGCCTCATAGACTGGCCTCGGGCGGGCTTGGGGCAGGACTTTCACTCTCACTGCAGGGGTCCTTCTCAGGGAGAAAGCTCGCTTCCCTCTCTACCTTACCCATTGTTGCGGCTCAAACTGAGAAACCGGGGGAAGCACCAATGTCCGCTCACTTGCCTGTCAGTGGGGGTGATGGTGGGAGAGGGCAAAGGCGAGGGTAGGTTGAGGGCAGTAGTGCGGGTGCGGGTTAAGGAGACCTGGGGAGCCTCTGCGGGATTTTGAGGAGCAGAGTGGCCTGATCCGAGCTGGGATCTTGGAAGATAAGGAGTGGATTGGGGCATGGGGTAGGAGTGGGGGGGGGGGGGGCAGTGGATCGCAGGCAGAGAGACCAGGGGCCTGACGGTTGGAATGCAAAGAGGAGCTGGTGGTTACAATTAGGGTATACTTTAAAAAAAAAAAAAAAAAACCAAACTTTTTTCATTGTAAAAGTAATTTACGAAAATTACTGAAAACTGGCTAAACAAAACCAGCCTAGCCTACTAATACAGCTGCTATTTGCTTTTGGTCTATTTCCTTCCAAGCTCATTTTACACCTTTTTTTTTAACATGCTGAGTTCTTGTGTACATATGATTAATTTTCCTGATTTTTCACTTATCAGGATGTCATAAACATTTTTCATGTTACTTCCTGTGTTAGTTTCCTAGGGCGGCCCTAACAGAGTGCCACAAACCCCGGGGCATAAGGTAGGAGAAATGTGTGGTCTGGCAGTTCTGGAGGCTGGAGGTCAAGATCAAGGTGTCCCAGGCAGGAGCTCCCTCTGAAGTCTGCAGGGGGTCCTTGCTCGCCTCTTCTAGCTTCGCTGCTTGCTAGCAATCCTTGGCATTCTCTAGTTTGTAGATGCCATGCTCCAGTCTCGGCTTCTGTGGTCACATGGCTTTCTTCTCCCTGTGTGCGTCTCCTCTTCTCATAAGGACACTAGGTATATTGGATTTAGTGCCACCCTGCTCCAGTATGACCTCATCTTGACTAATTACATCTGCAACAAGCCTGTTCCTAAATAAGGTGGCATTCTGAGGTCCTGGGGGTTGGGATTTCAACATATCTTCGTGGGGGACACAACCCAACCAATAACACTTCCTAACTGTGCCTTTTAGTGACTGCTTAAGATTTCAGCAACGATACAATGCCTCTTTTAATCAATTTTCTATTATTAAACACTTGATTTGCATCCAATTTGTATACGATTATAATCAACATTGTAATTAGCACTTCATGCATAAAATTTTCCCTCATATTGTTGAATGATTTTTTTTTAAGGAGATTCGGAAGAGGGAATATCTCATCAAAGTTTGTGAAAGGTTTTAATTGTATTATTGGTTTGGGAAGAGATACGGTGCAGAGAGAGGAAGCGCACACAGCGAAGCAAAACGCAGAAAAGAGGAATCACCCGCAGGCCCAGCAGCCAGACACAGCTTCTACTAGCCTGCAGGA